TCCCAACCCACAGATTGAGAACCACTGCTGTAGAGAATAAGTACGCCTGCACTTCCGGGATTTGCATTTCAGGATGTCTGCCTCAGTTTCTCCACTGGCAGGACTTTGCTAGAACCCCCACTGTGGCTACCCTCTGCCCCACTCTGATGCTCCCCAGATGTGCTGGATGACAACCAGAATTCTTAAAAAGGAGCTTTACACATCTGGAAGTCAACTTCATTTATTATGAGAAGAGATTTTATGGTTTTGCATGGTATGAACGCAGCTGATCAGCCAAGAGTTGTGTGAAATGAACTGTTAAGATGTTTGAGCTCTGAAATACAGGTAGTCCTCAACCTACAACTATTCATTTGGTGACAGTTTGAAGTTACAACAGCACTGAAAAAGGGACGTATGGCCGGTTCTCACGACCGTTGCAGTATCCCCATGGTCACTTGATCAAAATTTGGACACGTGGCAACTGGCATGTACTTATGACGGTTGCCGTGTCCTGGGATCACGTGACCTTTTGTGACCTTCTGACAAGCAAAGTCAATGGGGAAGCCAGATTCACTTCAGAAAACGTGTTGTTTAACTTAACAACTGCAGTGATTCCCTTAACAACAGTGGCAAGACAGGTCATAAAATGGGGGCAAAACTCACTTAACAACTGTCACGCTTAGCGACAAAAAATATAGGCTCGGCTGTGGTTGTAAGTTGAGGACCGGCTGCACAAGGAGAGCTAAATCATTAATTATGATCAGCAAAGTGATGGTTTTCCTAATTAGAAAGGATCTGCCATTAGGCTATGCTTAGGATCTCTGCTGAAAAACACTTCCACAATGTTTTTAAAACACACCCAACATCCCTTTTTCCCTGTAATCAAGAAGCCACAGGCAATTTCAAGGCCCTTTTTGGTTTAGGGCAGAGGTTCCCAACCTTTAGGGCACCATGGACCAGTTCATTGGAGAGAGGTTTTTCCACGGACCAGAAAGTGCGTGATTTTGTGTGCTGCCTACATCCCGCGGATGGGACTTTGCTTGTTTGTGCGGACTGGTTGCTGGCATGCTGTGGCCTGGTACTGGTCTACAAACTGGGGGTTGGGGACCACTGATTTAGGGTCTCCTGCTTGAGCAGGGGGTTGGACTAGAACAGGGGTGGCGAACCTATGGCACGGGTGCCAGAGGCGGCACTCAGAGCCCTCTCTGTGGGCACGTGCGCCGTCGCCCCAGTCCTAGGCCTTCAGCTGGGTTTTATAAAGCCTTTTTGCTTTAGGCCTCCGCCGCCGTGTGCAACAAAAAAAAAAGGTCCAATCAATCAGTCAATTTCTACTTCTCGCGGAAAAAAAAGATCTTGCAAAATTGGAATTGATTGATTGAACTTTTTAATCCCACCCAGTCTGCCGTTACCACTGCAGCCACGCCCACCTAATGGGACACACCCAGCCAGTGGGCCACACCCACCCGGCACCTGATATGCATAAGTGGGTTTTGGGTTGCAGTTTGGGCACTCGGTCTCTAAAAGGTTCGCCATCACTGGACTAGAAGACCTCTAAGGCAGTGGTTCTCAACCTGTGGGTCGGGACCCCATTTGGGGTCGAACGGCCATTTCACGGGGGTCGCCAAACAATGCAGTCCGCCATTTTTTTTCCCCTTTTCCTTAGCTGTGCTACTCCCTTTTATTCTATTGGCTTTTGAAAGCCAATAGGAATTGTCCAGGCTGTCTCTGCCCTGCTGAGCCCACCAAAAGTCCCATTCTGCAAACTGTGCTGCACCAGTTGAGTAGTCCTCGACTTACAACCGGTTGAGTAGTCCTTGACTTACGACCGGTTGGGGGTCGCGGCATTAAAAAGGTTGAGAACCACTGCTCTAAGGCACCATCCAACTCTTGTTACTCTCTTCTGTAATCCCGTGCCTTAGCAGAGTCCCAAAGACAGGCTGAGATGCTTTTGTGATTTAGCACAGAGGCCCCCAACCTTTTGAGCAACAGGGACGGGTTCCCTGGAGAGAGGTTTTTCCATGGACCAGACGTTGTGTGGTTTTGTGTGCTGCCTGCATCCCGTGGATGGGGCTTTGCTTGTTTGTGCGGCCCGGTTGCTGGCATGCCGCAGCCCGGTATCAGTCCACGGACCGGGGGTTGGGGACCCCTGGTTTAGGGAACAAGCCTCTGGATCAAAGATCACCTCATCTAGAGAGCCTTTACGTTTAAACCGAAGAAGAGGGTTTGAGTGACTTTATCTCTAATTTAACCCTGGCCTGTCATTTGTGTAATCCCCTCCCACCTGCCTTGCCTGAGAGATGGGAATCCTCAACTTGACGACCAAAAACTGAGCCCCCATTGTTTGTCGCTCAGTGAAACATTTGTAAAGTGAACTTTCCCCCCATTTGACGACCGTTTCGTGCCACAGTTGTTAAGTGAGTCGCTGCAGTTGTTAAGTTAGTAACATGGTTGTTAAGTGAATCTGTCTTATTGGAGGAGGGGGTAGGGGGGTTGTAAAAGGTGCTCACATGACTCCGGGACACTGCAAGCATCGTAAATGTGAAGTAGTTGCCAAAAGCATCCGAATTTTAATGATGTGACTGTGGGGAGACTGCAACCGTCGTTAAGTGTGAAAAATAATCCGAGGGGGTTGGACTAGAAGACCTCCAAGGTCCCGTCCAGCTCTATTTTGATTCTTTCTTTCTTTCCTTCTTCTTTCTTTCCTTCTCTTTCTTTCTTTCTTTCTTTCTTTCTTTCTTTCTTTCTTTCTTTCTTTCTTTCTTTCTTTTTCTTTCTTTCCTTCCTTCCTTCCTTCTCTTTCTTTCTTTCTTTCTTTCTTTCTTTCTTTCTTTCTTTCTTTCTTTCTTTCTCACTCACTCATTCTTTTTTACATTCCTATCTTCACCTATTCATCTCTCTCCCTTTGATTTGCAGCTGACTATGAGTCTGTTAAGCCGTGGAATACTATTGAACATTTGTTTCACTATGAAAAAAAGAAAAGTGTGAAAAAAGCCACTTTTTTTCAGGGCTGGTGTAAACTTTGAATAGTCACTAAATGACCCTGAAGTTTAGATCAGAGTTTCTCAACTTCAGCAACTTTAAGTCCACACATCTTAAAGTTTGTTTCGGTGAAAGGGATGCAGTTTGGAATCTCGGGAAACACACACACACACACACAGACAGAGAATAGGATGGCAGAAGCTGCGGGTTGGCTTCCCGGCCAGCCCAAAGCAGCCTGCAAACGAGGACAGGGAACTGCTTCAAAGCGGCAGCCGGACGCTGGCCGCCTGTCAACGCACCCTGCAGCCATGTGCACAAGACCTGCCTCGCCACAAACTTCCCACCGGATAATTATAGAGAGAATAATGCTGCATTATTTATAAAGCTGACTATTTATAAACCCGGGCCCAGAAGATGTGGCACCAGACCTCGGTGGTTAGCCTTCAGAGGGTGACCCCTCCTCCCCATACACACACACACACACACACACACACACACACACACACTGCCCCCACCCTCTCCAGGCTCAAGGGCAGAACGGGGCAGAGAAGGTCCATAAAGGGTACTTGAAGAGGATTTTCCCCTGCAATGAAAGACTGCACAAAAAAGAAAGAAAGGGGGGGAGGGGGGGATCTGTTGAGTGGGGGTCTTCCATGGCTGGTCCTTGTATAGCCTTTCTCTTCGCCACCCACCCCCACCCCGAAATACACGGATTCCCCAGCCTCTTTTCATTCCATTCTCCCCGCGTTGTCACTTTTCATGCCTAGGGAGATACCTCCCATATTTTGGCTTGCTTCCCCCCCCCCAGCAGATTGGTGGCAGGGGTCAGGGGCAGGGGCAGGACCCAGCATTCCCACATTCTCTTTAAACAGGTGCCAGAGCACAAACATCAGTTAACCCTTTGGGTGCTGGGCCCAGCCTCGCTGTTCCTCCATCCCTTCTCCTTTCCTTTGTTCCTAGAGATTGGAAGAGGGGCTGAACCAGGAAATTCCAGTCTCTCTCCTCTTTGGTGTTTTTCCTTTCCGACTCTCTCTTGCCCGCCAAGAGAGACCCCCAAAGGGTTTGAAAATGAAAAGAGACAGGTAGTCCTCGACTCAGTGGCCGTTCGGAGTTACGGCGGCACTGAAAAAAGGGACATGCAATCGCTTCTCACGTTTGAACAACTATTGTAGCATCCCCCGGAGTACGTGATCAAAATTCAGACGTTTGGCCACCGGCTCATATTTATGATGGTTGCGGAGTTCCAAGGGGTCAGGGGATCCCCCTTTTGCGACACGTTCTGACAAGCAAAGTTCAGTGGAGAAGGCAGTTTCATTTTACAACCAGGTTACTAACTTAACAAGTGCAGGGATTCACTTAACAACTGTGGCAAGAAAGGTTGTGAAATGGGGGCAAAAAACCCCTTAAGAACGGTCTCGCTTCAAATTGGGGCTCGGTTGTGGTCCAGGACTTACCTATACAGTGCCTTACCTATACAAGCACCACTTGTATAGGTAAGGCATTTGACAAAGTAGACCACAACCTACTACTTGAGAAGATACAAAAATGCGGCTTAGACAGCATCACCATCAGATGGATCGGTAGCTGGCTGACCGGCCGTACTCAGCGTGTGGTCCTCAATGGAACCGCAACTACATGGAGGGAAGTGTGTAGTGGGGTGCCCCAGGGCTCTGTTGTGGGCCCAGAGCTCTTCAACATCTTCATCAACGAAATGGACGAGGGGATAGATGGGGAACTCATCAAATTTGCAGACGACACCAAGCTGGAAGGAATAGCCAACACTCCAAAACCCACTTATGCATCGTTGGGTGCCGGGCGGGTGTGGCCCATTGGGTGGGTGTAGAAAATAGCTTGACTCCCTCTTCTTTGGGGCAGCCCCTGATATATTGGAACACGGGTATCCTGTCCCCCCTCGTCCTTCTCTTCATTAAACTAGACATACCCAATTCCAGCAACCGTTCCTTATATGTTTTAGCCTCCAGTCCCCTGGAGTTTGTCCTTGTGAGGTCTTCCCAATCCTGCCTCATCACAAAGATGTGTATCTATCTTTGTGGGCTGGGAAGAAGAGAGTGCTGAGTGCAATCAGAGATCAGTTGTTTATTTCTAGAGATTGATGTAGTAGACATGAGCTGCGCTGTGACACTTGCCAGTTTTCCTTGCCCAGCTGTCGGGTCGCTTGAAATCCGCCTTCTCCAACTTCCTTGCCCTCCAGTTGTGTCCTGGCCTAAAATTCCTGCCATTCCGAAATCTATGTGAACAACCGGTTCTCTGTGTGGATGCTGCTTCCGGAAGTCCATTCTGGGCCAGGGGAACAAATAATTAGCTACCGGTTCTGCCGAAGCGGTGCAAACCGGCTGAATCCCACCTCTGTCCTTGACTTAAGACCACAACTGAACCCCAGATTTTCTGTTGTTAAGTGAGAGATTCATCCAGTGAGTTTTGCCCCATTTTATGACTTGTCACAGTTGGAATAGAGAATAGAGTTGGAAGCGAACTTGGAGGTCTTCTAATCCAGCCCCCTATACTATTTCAAAAATCTCCAGTGTTGGAACATTGTTCCAACAACAACGCTTTGGAGAATAGCTTGACTCCCTCTTCTTTGTGGCAGCCCCCCAAATATTGGAACACTGCTATCATGTCATCCTTAATCCTCTTCTTCTGAACTTTTACAAAATACAGAACAGAGTTGGAAGGAACCTTGAAGGTCTTCTAGTCCAACCCCCTGCTCAGGCAGGAAACCCTATACCATTTCAGACAAATGGAGCCGAGGTGGCGCAGCAGTTAGGGTGCAGTACTGCAGGCCGCTTTAGCTGACTGTGTTCAGCAGGTCAGCGGTTCAAATCTCACCGGCTCAAGGTTGACTCAGCCTTCCATCCTTCCGGGGTAGGTAAAATGAGGACCCAGATTGTTGGGGGCAATGTAAATATATATATACATTGCTTACTGGTGTACACCGCTTAGAGAGTGCTTGCACTTAAAGCGGTATATAAGTATCATAAATAAATAAATAAATAAATAAATAAATAAATAAATAAATAAATAAATAAATGGCTGTCCAGTCTCTTCTTAAAAATCTCCAGTATTGGAGCATTCACCGCTTCTGGAGGCAGGTTGTTCCACTGGTTAATTGTTCTAACTGTCAGGAAATTTCTCCTTAGTTCTAGGTTGCTTCTCTCCTTGATTAGTGTCCCTCCGTTGCTTCTTGTCCTGCCTTCAGGGGCTTCTTTTCTCTAGACTGGCCATACCCAAATCCTGCAACCGTTCAGCCTTTGCAGCCTTCCCAGCTGACTGAGTGAGATGGCCGACTGTCACCGCTGCCTCGGTCATTCTCCGCACAGTATGCAAGCAGTCCTGGAATTATGACCGCAGTTGAGGCCAGATTTTCCACTGCTAAGCAAGGCAGTTGTTAAGTGTATCTCGTTTTACGACCTTTTTTCCGCGGTTGTAGTAAACAAATCCCTTTAGTTGTTAAGCGAATTGCCTGGTCATTAAATGAATCCAGCTTCCCCCACTGACTTTATATATCAGAGGCCGGGTGAGAAGGTCACATATGGCGATCCTTTGGCCCAAGAATGCTGGCACGGTCGTAAATAAATGCTGGTTGCTAAGTGCCCCAATTTTGATCCTGGGACCCTGGGGGAGGCCACGTTGGTGGTCGTAATGAGGACCCCTCCTAAATCATTTTTTCAGTCCGTTGTAATTTCGAATACGTGCTAAATGGCTATAAGCTGACTACTTTTGCAATGGTTCTCAAGCAGTTTCAGGAGTTTTATGCCTGGCCGTCCGACTGGCTCTTTCACCGGGAGATGACAGCTTCAAACCTCAAAACATAAATTGTGTTTCCCCCCCCCTTTTTTTGGGCCTATTGTGTAACCTTGGATTGTTGGCTTTTTTGGCACAGCTGTGGCATCCTCAGCAGTGGAATGCATTGTGGATGCCGACTGTCAGATGCCAAACGGGATGGAGCTGCGGCAGACTGGAGAGCAGGTGAGTGGCGCCTTACACGCCTCCTTGTCCTTTACACCTGCTTGTTAGACCTGGCTTCCTCTCGCCCAAGGAGTCTTTTACAGGGGTGTGTGTGTGTGTGTGTGTGTGTGCAGATGCGTGTGTCTCTCTGTGCGTGCATGCTCCAGGCTGCCTCAGGTGTTACTAACACTGTAATTAATAAAGTTAGGAATAATTTAGGCGCACTCCCTCGACACTAAGGCCTCCCACGCTTCCACTCCTAGTTACAGGTCTTCTAATTTTAGTGCTTGCTGTTTCAAAGAGTCCATCTCCAGGGATGGTCCAGGCCTTCATTTGACCTGGAAGGGATAGAGAAGAAATAAAAGACCGGGGGGGGGGGGGTGGAAAGGGGGGGGCTAGAATAGAAGATGGTCCTCCCCAAATTCCTGCTTCGGAGAATCCATTCCTGTTGGGGTCTTCTTCTCCTAGCTTCCGAAGTACAGGTAGCCCAACATTGCTGTTGTTAAACAGACATTTGTTGAGTGATTTTTTTTGCCCTGTTTTACAACCTTGCTTGCCACCGTCGCTAAATGGATCACTGCAGTTGTTAAGTTAGTGGCACGGTTGTGAAGTGATCCGGGCTCTCCCATTGACTTTGCTTGTCCGAAGGTCGCCAAAAGCCGATTCACACGATTCCGGGACACGGCAACCGTTGTAAGCATGAATTCAGTAGCCAAGCTTCTGGATTTTGATCACGTGACCGTGGGGAAATGCTGCAACGGTCGTAAGTGTGAAAAACGGTCCTGAGTCCCGTTTTTCAATGCCGTTATAGCTTTGAACGGTCCCTAAATGAACTGTTGTAAGTTGAAGACTGACCAGTGGTGTTTTTCAAGTATGGCAACTTTAAGCTGGGTGGACTTCAACTCCCAGAATTCCCCAGCCAGCAAAAGCTGGCTGGGGAATTCTGGGAGTTGAAGTCCACCCAGCTTAAAGTTGCCAGGGTTGAGAAACACTAAATTAGAAGACACAGCTCCCTCTAATTAAGAAGGTAACAATACTTCCCTGAATGTTGAATTCTTGCATCATCATGCAAACACACAGACACACACACATGCAGCTAGACACACGCACACAAACAAGGTGGCTTCTGTAAGGCACAAAAGCCACTTGTGTCTAAATGAGGCAATCGAAAACAAACATCTTTGTAATTACCCCCTTGAGGTTGGGGTGCAATCCAGAGGCCTGGAGGAGAGAAAACGGTCCCCATGGAGCTAGGTAGTGTGGGACAATGATTACAGCACACTTGTACCATGTATACAGCCCGAGTCTATTGTTGCATTTCAATCTAGGGCAGAGGGTGGGCAACCTGGGCTCTTTTATGACTCGTGGACTTCAACTCCCAGAATTCCTGAGCTAGCATGGCTCAGCATGGAAACCTCAGGAAGGGAGGGAGGGAGGGAGGGAGGGAGGGAGGAAGGAAGGAAGGAAGGAAGGAAGGAAGGAAGGAAGGAAGGAAGGAAGGAAGGAAGGAAGGAAGGAGTGGTGGGATTCAAATATGTGAACAACCGGTTCTCTGTGTGGATGCCACTTCCGGAAGTCCATTCTGGGCCTGGGCAACAAAAAATTAGCTACCGGTTCTGCCGAAGTGGTGCGAACCGGCTGAATCCCACCGCTGGTCATAAGTCACTTTTTTCAGTGCTGTTGTAACTTTGAATAGTCACTAAATGAACTGTCGTAAGTCGAGGACAACCTGTTCCGAGCTTCCTTAGGGTTTTGTGGAGTGGTTGGTGGTTCAGTATGAAACCAGATCACTGGGTTAGTTTATCTTTCAGCATACAGTAGAAAACCCAGAAATGGGTTGATTCATTAAACAGGGTTAAGCCTATCGTGAGGACACAATTTACAAGGGTGGATTCCACTTATAAGCAAGCATGTTGGAGATGCTATTGCACGGTAATTGACCAGGAAGCAGCACGGAAGTCTACTTCCAGCATGAGTAGTATAATAGTCTGCTGATATATGCTATATGAGTATAATAGTCTGCTGATATATGCTACATTAGAAGAGATTTTAGCCCCATTGAATCCTGCGTAAATTGAATTTGGAACGAGCTTGTTCATTAACAGAACACGTGAAGTGTTAATACCACTTTACAATGCCTTGGTAAGGCCACACTTGGAATACTGCATCCAGTTTTGGTCACCACGGTGTAAAAAAGACGTTGAGCCTCTAGAAAGAGTGCAGAGAAGAGCAACAAAGATGATCAGGGGACTGGAGGCTAAAGCATACAAGGAACAGCTGCTGGAATTGGGTATGTCTAGTTTAATGAAGAGAAGGACGAGGGGGGACATGATAGCAGTGTCCCAATATCTCAGGGGCTGCCCCAAAGAAGAAGGAGTCAAGCTATTCTCCAAAGCACCTGAAGGCAGGACAAGAAGCAACAGGTGGAAATTAATCAAGGAGAGAAGCAACCTAGAATTAAGGAGAAATTTCCTGACAGTGAGAACAATGAATCAGTGGAACAACCTTCCTCCAGAAGCTGTGAATGCTCCAGTTTTTAAGAAGAGACTGGGCAGCCATTTGAAATGGTATAGGGTTTCCTGCCTGAGCAGGGGGTTGGACTAGATGACCTCCAAGGTCCCTTCCAACTTTATTATTATTATTATTATTATTATTATTATTATTATTATTATTAAATCATCAGACTTTTTTGCTAATGTAAACTCAGGTTTTCAGCTCCTAAGGGACTGCTTACGCAGGCATGCCTACAAATGTTATTTGCTTATGAAAAGCAAAATCTTGGCGGTTTAAAATGACAACTTAAATAAACATTGGATGCTACCACCTGCAATCGTCAGACAAGCTGGGAACCTGCTGGGTTGTCATCTTAATCCGACTCTCCAAAAGCTTCCTTTGAACAGAAGGAAAAGCAAGCAAAACCCGGCAGCGGAGGCATGATGTAGCATGAATATTTTTGGCACGCAACTTGCTTAATGACAGAAATCCTGGTCTCCATTGTAGTCGTTGAGTTGAGGATGACCTGCAAATGCAATGGAAAAAAACCAAAAAGTTAAAATCAGAAGATTAGGAGCAAGAAAAGAAATCTTGTTTTCGAGTTTTGATGGCCAACCTCCCCAATTTTTAAAAGCATACCTAAGATTTATTATTCTTTATTATCATCATTACTTGTGGATTTTTTTCCCAGCTCTTCTCTACAATTAGGACGCTGTTAAAATTTAATAGGTACAGATGGTTCTCGACTGATGACTAGAATTGAACTCAACATTTCTGTCACTAAGTGAGACAGCTGTTAAGTGAACGTTGCCCCATTTTACGACCTTTCTTGCCTCAGTTGTTAAGTGAATCACTGCAGCTGATGAATTAGTAACCCAGGTTGTTAAGTGAATCCGGCTTCCCCATTGACTGGGACACTGCAACCGTCATAAAGATGAGTCAGTTGCCAAAGGTCTGAATTTTAATCACATGATCATGGGGATATTGCAGAGGTCGTAAGTGTGAAAAACGGTCGTAAGTCACTTTTTTCAGTGCCGTTATATATTTGATTGGTCATTAAACAAACTGTTAAGTCCAGGACTGCTTGTACCGTAATCCAAGCTACAGATCATAGCTTGTGTAGAATGTAAGAGGCATAGAAAGTTTGCCCGGAAATCTGGGATTAGATAATTTAAATTAAACAAGCTTTAAAAACTTTATTGCTCTCAGGATATCCCCTTTTTCCACTCATTTTTCTGCGAAGGAAGACGGAGTGGCTGTTTCCCATGGAAACCCAGCATGTCGCAACATTTTCTGGGGACAGATTCTAAAGAAACTGTGATATAGCTGCATCCTAAAGCCGGGCCAGTCTTCTCACGCAGCTGTGAATTGTGAAGGATTGATTGGTGGACAAACTTCTTCTTCTTCTTCTTCTTCTTCTTCTTCTTCTTCTTCTTCTTCTTCTTCTTCTTCTTCTTCTTCTTCTTCTTCTTCTTCTTCTCTTCTTCTTCCTCTTCCTCTTCCTCTCCCTTTCCCTCTCCTTCTCCTTCTCTTTCTTCTTCCTTCTTCTTCTTCTTCTTCTTCTTCTTCTTCTTCTTCTTCTTCTTCTTTTCTTCTTTGGAAAAAAATTCTGTCTTTTATTATTGACCTTCTCATTGCGAAGATGAGTTTCCATGGAAATCCATGACTCAAGAGCCACTGAACTGGAATATCAAATCTAACAGACAAAAGGCGGTATTCTTCAGAGTTGGCATCACTTAGTTACTCGCCTCTTCTAACCTTGGTTTTCAACTTCCACCATGATGGAGGTTAGAGAACGATGGAGCGCATTTGGAGAGTGTTAAGTTGGGAAGACTTGAGAACGTGGCATGTGCTCCTTCAGATGGCTCTGGAAAATAGATTAGACCAGTGGTTCTCAACCTTTTTAATGCTGCGACCAATGCCCCCCAACCGATCGTAAATCGAGGACTACTCAACCGGTCGTAAGTCGAGGACTACTCAACTGGTGCAGCACCATTTGCAGAATGGGACTTTTGGCGGGCTCAGCAGGGCAGAGACAGCCTGGACAATTCCTATTGGCTTTTGAAAGCCAATAGAATTAGACTCTATTCAAGAGAGTCTATTCTATGGCTTTCAAAAGCCAATAGAATAAAAGGGAGTAGCACAGCTAAGGAAAAGGGGGGAAAAAATGGCGGACTGCGTTGTTTGGCGACCCCCGTGAAATGGTCGTTCGACCCCAAATGGGGTCCCGACCCACAGGTTGAGAACCACTGGATTAGACAAAGGCAATCCATAATGTAGTTTCAGCTTCATAGACTTCAGCTTTACAAACATTGGGGCTTGGAAATCATGGTTTATGGTTTCACGATGCGTGGAAACTCAACCAGTAAGGGCTTATTTCACACTTTCACATTGTGTGACACTAGTCCTATACATAGTGGGACACCTTTGGCATGACTTCCTAGGCTATGTGACCAAGGGAAGCCCTTAGATCAGGGATGGGCAACTGTGGTCCCTTTACATCCTGTGGACGTCAACTGGCTCAGGAATTCTGGGAATTGAAGTCCACAGGTTGTAAACAGGCCACAGTTGCCAATCCCTGCCTTAGAGCCAAGATGTCAAACCTTGACAACTTTAAGACTTGTGAACTTCAACTCTGGCTGTGGAATTCTGGGAGTTGAAGTCCACAGGTTGTAAAGTTGCCGAAGTTGGACACCCCTGCCGTATGATGCTCCTGAAAATATTCCTTGATGGAGAATCAGGGTGATCATGTACAAAACAGGACATGGGAATAGAGCTAGCTCACGACTTACTACCATAATTGAGCCCCAAAATGTCTATTGCTAAGCGAGACATCTGTTAAGTGAGCTTTGCCCCGATTTACAACTTTTCTTGCCACAGTTGCTAAGCGAATCACTGCAGTTGATGAGTAACACAGTTGTTAACCGAAACTGGCTTCCCCATTGACTTTGCTAGTCACAAAAGGGGATCATATGACCCAGGACATTGCAAACCATCATAAATATGAGTCAGCTAATTTTGATCCCAAGAGGACGGGAATGCTGCAAAGATCGCAGCTGTGAAAAAATGTTCGCAAGTCACTTTTTTCAGTGCCATTGCGACTTCGAATCGTCCACTACTGTTGTTAAGTCAAGGGACTGTCTGTAAATGGAAATTTCACTTGAACCAATAGTTCTTTCCTTAGATCTCCCCAGTTCACGATCCATCAGATTTTGTTTAGGAACCCGCTTGCGAGGGACCAAGGTTTTCAAACTCCACTGCCAAATCGGAGGTATAATTCTGTCAGCATTTGGGTCCAGTAGGTCAAGAATCCAAATGTCAGTTCATTATCTTGGCTATAAGCAGGACTTGATTAAAACCAGACCAGCTCCGTTCTTCCATTAGTGAGTTGCTTTTTGCTTTTGTAGTTCTTTCTCCCGGCTACATGGAATCATCCATTTCACAACAGCCCGGGGATCAATAGGGTGGGGTGGGATCACTGAGGAAGGCTGGCTCCAGGATTTGGGAAAAAAATTAATAAATGTCAATCAGTAATATTTACCTGCAAAAAAAGGGTGAGGTGCACTTAGGGTTCTGGACAGCTCTGGGTTATTTTTCAGTTGACACTCTTAGGCTGTTCTTATATTGATGCCCTCAGAGTATAATTTTTGAACAGTTAACTGAAGCAGACAAAACTACTTTTTTTAAAAAAATTGTTTCCTATTATTCCAGAGAGTTCATAGCAGTGTTTCTCAATCTTGGCGGTTTTCAGATGGGTGGACTTCATGCTGGCTATGGGAATTCTGGGAGTTGAAGTCCATCCATCTTCAAAGTTGCCGAGGTTGAGAAACGCTGGTTTATAGGACAAAAGTCTGTTTATCAATAGAAGAGAATATTTGTAGCTTAGGGTCGAACTGTGGGGTCCTTGGTGCTCTCTGAGCTTGGTGGTTTTCCTGCTGAAGATTCATGACCAATTTAAATAACATCCTCAGTGCTCTTACAAAACCCTATATTCCCTTGCAGCACTGATGGTGTTACCTAGTTTGGTAATGAAAGGTTGGCAAGAAAACAACCAAACTCAAATTCAGAGGCCAGGTATGCTTTATGGGCTACAAAGCACCTATCCTGGGCCCATTTATAATTTTGAATGTTGCTTAAACAACCAGTTGCAGGTCAAGGGCCACCTGTATAATTCCGCTCCCTTTGTGAATCCAGTCATACCCTTTAAGGCAATGTGCATCTGGAACAAATATTCCATATATCCAACAAGAGATGCATTGGGTTGGTTCAGAGGCAAGCCCCCATAATCATCCCAGGATTAATGCCTGTGTTGCCTGTGACTTTTCAGAAGATATTCAAATAAATCAAAACAGCCAGTAACTGCTAAACTACAATGGTGCCCAAATCTGGAGAAAGTTTTTAAAACTACCCCAGCTATTGGACCTTATTCCTTAAATATATATACAGGGAATTGCAGTCTACAATTCCTGGAGGTGGCATTTAGGCCCCTGGTGTTAAACCTGGTGTTTTCCCAATGTGTTCAGGCTAATCCGAGTTTTGAGGAAGTATAAACTGGTCCTTCTTCCTTCCTTTTTCTTTCTTTAGTTATTTTACTTCCCTCCAAATCCTTTTCTGGAACTTTACAGCAACGTCTTTGTTAAAAAATTCCACTTCCTTTTACACAGTTTCATACCATCACTATTTACTCTGGGGAGGGAGAGTGAAAAAAAAAAGATGAAATACTGTTAAATTTGAAACCTGTTCAAGATTTCAGTGACAGCATTATCACAAGGCAATGGATTTGTAGGATAAGAAAGGAAAAAAGGAAAAGATGGTAAAAAGGAAGGAAGAATGGAAGAACGGAGGGAAGGAAGGAAGGAAGGAAGGAAGGAAAAAAGATGGTAAAAATGAAAGAAGAAAAAAGGAAGGAAGAAAGATGGAAGGAAGAAGGAAGGAAGGAAGGTAGGAAGGAAAAGATGGTAAAAAGAAAGGAAGATCAGAGGGAGGGAAAGAGGGAGAGAAGGAAGGAAAAGGAAGGAAGAAAAGGAAGGAAGGAAAAGACAGTAAAAAGGGAGAAAGAACAGGGAGGGAGAGAGGGAGAGAAGAAAGGAAAAGGAAGGAAGAAAAGAAGGAAGGAAAAGATGGTAAGAAGGAAGGAAGGAAGGAAAAGACGGTAAAAAGGAAGGAAGAACAGAGGGAGGGATGGAGAGAGGGAGGGAAGGAAGGAAGAAGGAAGGAAGGGTGGGTCGTAATCATAAAGACTGAAAACTTGGTCATTTTAACTGAACAACTCAAATGGAATCTAAGGATTTCACAATGCCAGCATCCAACCTGGCTGATATCTCTGGGGATTCTTGCTAGGGTACAAAGGCCCCCTCCCACTGCTCTACTCAAGAGCTCCATTCCCATGAACCTGAAGGATCCTTGTATGCAAATGGAAACTGAGGCAGGTGGGGTTCACACCCGGTGCCAGACTGTGATGTGGTTGCTTTCCCGTTGGCCAAGCATGCTGCATAAACCAAACCAGTGTGATTTATAAACTGTGGT